AAAAAAAAAAAAAAAAAGAGATTTATGATTTTACTTCATGTAAGTTAATGTTGGTGTTCAAATGTTAGGAAACATTACTGGTTTTGCAACCCTCACAGAACCTACCAGAAATGGGAAAAAATAACATTTTTTCTGTCAGTGTAAGTAAATGCATCTGTGTCTTCTTGTGGGTCGTTCCTCTAGTTGATATACCATCTTCTTCACCCTCTCATCTGTCTCTACCTAGATAACTTGATGTTGAATACTCATCTTGAATGTTACCTGTCCCAGGAAGTCTCAGGTGTCCCTTCAAAGTCTGGTTTGGGTGTGCATGACCTGGGTTCCCATAGCCTCTGTGTTCCTATCTGCGTAACATACATCATGCTCTAGGTCAATGGTTTCTTCCTTTCTTATTTAGCTTTACATGAAACACTTGGCTCCTCAAGGTTTGGGACCATGTCTGGGTTCTTCTGGCATTTCTAATGCGAGTACAGGTCAGGAATTTGTCACTCATTCATGTATCCCTCATTCATTTGGTCATCTATGTGGCCCCAGATTTAGGAAGCACCTATTTGGCAAAATGCTGGGGGAGGAGGCAGGGTGGAGGCAGACAGAACATCAATAGGCATTCATAATTTTAAGCCCTAAATGCTGTGATGGAGGATAAAAGGAGTGGTTTTAGAGGAGAGCTCAGATTCCTACCTAATCCTACTAGAGAAATTCAAGGGCATCTCCCAGGAAGAAATGATATCTAGACCTCAGGGAGCAGTTGATGGCTGGGGCCATTGTGAGGGTTACCTGAGTTAACATATGGAAAACTCTTTGCACAGATCTTGCCATATGGTAAGCACAATGTACATGAAAGCTATTACGATTCTTATCACCAGGGCAGAAAGGAGATGAAGCATTATATAGACAGAAATGATATGTTGTTGAAGAAAGGCAGAGTAGTTTAGAGCTGCTGGGAATGAAGGGTGTAGGGTGGGGTTGGAGTTAAATGGACAGAGGTGATTTTTTTAAAAAGGAGAAAAAAGCAGGGATCCAGGGAGGTGTCAGGGAGGTAACAGAGCCCCGTCTTGGCTTAAGTCTCAGGACAGTAGTGATCATATTTGCACTGAAGAGAAAGAAGAGAGGAGAAGGGGAGAAAAGGTGGAAGAGAGAAATGAATGATTAAGAACATAGCATAATATCTACAGTTGTTTCCTTCTTCTCTAGTACTTTTGAACAGCAGTAATCAACCATTTTGGCATCAGGGACCCGTTTTGTGGAAGACAATTTTTCCATGGATGGAGGTGAGGGAGTGACCAGCAGACAATAGATTCTCAAAAGGCACAGGCAACCTAGATCCCGTACATGTGCAGTTCACAATAAGGTTCACACTCCTATGAAAATCTAATGCCACTGCTGATCTGACAGAAGATGGAGCACTGTTCATCTGCTGCTCACCTCCTGCTGTGCAGCCCGTTCCTAACAGGCCATGAACCAGCATTGGTTGCTGGCCCGGGAGTTGGGAACCCCTGATCTAGAACTTTGATGACAAGGGGTTAATACAAAATCCAAACAGGGATTTTCTCTCCTTAGCTTTAACATTGCTAGAATTAAATCAATACATATTTCCTAGCTGCTAGTACATCCTAGTCTCCAGTGCTGCAGTTTGTACTAACATCCCAGTATGCCCCTTCAGATCTGTGTGTCACGGACAGATCACTTAATCTCTGAGGTGCAGGGTTGCAGACAGAGCTACCCATGATGACCAGGAGGTGACCTGTCACTCAATAGCAATATATATAAGATATTCTAGAAGGAAAGGCTCTAAGAAAGCAGTTCATTCATTCACATATCAATATTTGCTGTGTGTTCACTGTGTGTAGGGACTCAGAGGAAAACAAAAGCAGATTAGTCCCAGCTCCCATAGAGCCAGAATATGACCCCATGATTACCAGGCATGCTTCAATGTAATCTTCCTCAATCTACCAAACAGTAGGTGCCTAGTTAGAGTTTGTTGAATGAGTGATTCTATGAGACCAATAAAGATCAGACAACTAATCAGCCCATTACACTAATAGAAATGTGATTACCAGTTGAGATAGATACTTGGAAACAAAGGAAGAGAGAACATTTCCTAACCCAGAGGGGGCACAGATAGATGTCATGCCTGGGAAGAGATGGGGAGGATCAAAGGAATCTTTTAGTGAAAGAGGGGAGGAGGCATCCCAGTGGCCTGGGAGTGGTGTCTAGTGTGGCAGGAGAAAATGTACCATGTTCTAGAAACCAAAAGGAATCCAGTGTGTCTGTAACAAAAGAGGACACAGTGAAGGGCTGAAGGAGGAGGTACTGTAGTGGGTAGATATAGTAGATGGAGACCAGTCCAAGAGCCACAGAAGAATTCATTTTCAACACACAAGGTAACTGTGGCCTTTCTAGAGAAACCTCATTACAAATACCTTGAGGAGCTCGACCCTATTGAGAAATATATTAAATTGAAAAGTTCAGAACAACATTTGGGGAAAGTAATTTTGAAGCATGATTCCAGAACTGTAGACATTACTATACCATGGCAAGTAAATCACACATTTGAAGATCATCATAAATAAATTTGAGAAATGGTACATACACAAAATTGTTCATTGTAGTTTCTTGTAAAAATAATTATAAGATATATTAGACAACAGAGGAATGCCATATATATATAATGGCTTATCCATTGCATATATTGTTTACAAAGTTTATGAACATACAATACCAGCATAGGAAATGGAAAATGTTTATATTACCACAAATAGTTAATTATCATGAACAGTTATGCATATATATATATATATATATGTGCTTTGATGGTTTCTACTATATATTTACACACATATATAGTATATGCATATATATACACACACACACACAGAGAAAAAAGTATTTAAGTGAATAAGCAACTACCAATATACATATAAAAGAAGAACAAGCCGGGCTCGGTGGCTCAGCCTGTAATCCCGCGCTTTTGGGAGGCTGAGGTGAGTGGATTGCCTGAGCCCGTGGGTTCGAGACCCACCTGGGCAGCGAGACCTCATCTCTACAATAAATCAAAAAATCAGCCGGGCGTGGTAGCGCATGCCTGTAATTCCGGCTACTCGGAAGGCTGAGGCGGAAGGATCGCCGGAGCCCAGCAGGCTGAGGCTGCGGTGGCCGGGAGCGGCCACTGCACTCCAGTCTGGGCGACAGAGTGAGACTCCAACTCAAAAAAAAAAAAAAAGAAGAAGAACAAGATCAAGACTGATTATATGAAAAACTGATTATATGAAAAATTTAGGCTTTAACAGATAAACAAGTTAATAATTGTTTTTCTTTTAATTTTCTATAGCACTCAAAATTCCACTAGTGGCCATGACTTGCTTTAGCAATGATGGAATATACTTTGCTTTATTTTGAAAAGACAAACTAGGTTGTTGTTGCTGTTTTTAATAAAAGCCACTTACAGGGATTCCAGGTATTCCAGATGGACCTTGAGGGCCGGGAGGACCTTCTTTCCCCTAAAAGATCCAAGACATAAAAATACCATGAAATTTTTTATTGGCTTTTCTCGAAGTAAATGATGTCACACAGATATGACTCTGTGGGTTGGGGGAACAAGTGTTTAGTGGGAAGCAAAGGTGCTTCTGTATCAGCCTCGGTGCCCTCAGGTCTATGCCTCCCCCACAGCAGTGAGACGCCCTGGACAGAGGATGATAACCCCCCTGGTGTGCATACCAAACACACTGAGGTCCCGTTACACAGGCTTAGAGAAAACTGGCAATTAAAAGGACAGTGGGAAGGAACTATTGGGCTTTGGAAACCACAGGACCTAGGTCCAGATCCCACCCTGAATCTGTTCCCAGACTTCCTGAAATTTGGGTTTTTCACCTGTATAGCATAGATCACAGCACCTTTGAGGTGTTGTGTATGCGGGAGTCTATACAAGTGGAAAGCTGACCAGAGGACATCATAATAGATGGTTTCATTATTTTCATCATTTTGTTCAGTGGCTCCTAAACTTTGTATCGCCCATGGTTGCTTTTAGTACCTCTTCCTCCCATGAAATAGACCTTGTGTTTAAAAGACTGTTTTATAAAATTGCATCAATTAATACCTTGTTTTTCATTTTACCAAAGACACATAAAACTGTCAATAAGGACTTCTAAACCAGCACAAGCAAATCAATGTCATCATTTCTATCATAGTGAGCATTTTTATATCACCCTGTGTCTCTACTATGAGTATTTAGGGTTTGTGATAATTTTATAATAATCTACCAGTGCTTATCATGAGATAAGACAATGATGCCATATTTTTTTTTACATTCTGATTCACAAAATGAGGTATTCCTAAAGTTTGTGATTTTAAACTCTTAAAAGAAAACACAAAATCAAAAAATTAATATTTACTACAGAGTTATACAGATTTTATATTCAGTCTTATAAAAATGTCCCAATCAGGGGATCCTAAATAAATAGTATTTAAATTGAATGTAAACTCAATATCTTAGTTTTATTTCTATACCTTAAAAATAAAAGATACCACTCTCTCTCGGTCTCTCTTTCTCTCTCTCTCTCTCTGTCGCTCTCTCCCTCTCTGCAGCTCTCTCCCCCCTCCTCTCTCTCTCTCTCTCCACAGACCCTTTCCCTTTTTCCCTTGTAACCACCACTTTAATAAATCTCTTGGCCTTAAAATAAATAAATAAATAAATAAATAAAATAAAAGATACCAATGACATATAATTAAGATATTAAGACTTTTTAAAAATTATTTTATTAAACCTTGGAAACTAAGAAAGAAGAGATGTTCTAGGTTTGTTAGAACCTTTCTTAAAATGATTTATACTCTACATATTTATGTTAAAAAGTAACTCAATTCTTTAAAAATAAGATGCTGTATGTATGCATTTGTATTGCTAACAACTTGACATAATCAGCATTTCTATAATAATAAGCTGCATAACACTTGAGAATGACTAAACATTATGTCATTTAGACCAATACAAAATAATAAGTCCCCAAAACTAAATATTTACCCTTTCCTCACATCACAGAAACTTCAAACACATAAGCAGATAGGATGAATATTTTTTGTCAATCTGGGACAAAGATGTAATTATCATTAGAGATTTTTAACATTGATAATGGAGCTTCCTGGACTTCTTTATACATGCTAATTGTTTCAAAGACCCTAGTGTGAAGGATCTAGGACAGGTGACAGCACGCATTGGCCCTCTGCCAGTTTTTGTAAATAAAGTTTTATCAGAACATAATCATTAGTTTATATATTACCTATGGCTGATTTTGCCTTACTACAGCAGAGTTGAGTAGCTACTGGCTCACAGAGCCTAAAATTACTTACTTATTGGTTCTTTATGATAAAAGTTTGCCAAGTTTTGTTCTATACCACTCTCTGCAAACTCAGGCGAGGAAGGCTCCACCATACAATAAGAGTGCAGCACCAGGAGTGGACTCTACCTTTGATTTCTCGTCCAGTGCTCTTGCCATCACAAATAGACTTCTCTTCACTTAGAAAGCAATTCCACTGGCAGAGAAGCCAGGTGTTAAAACACGGTAGATTCTTAGCCAACTTCCACTTAACCATTTCCCACAATGAACCAGCCCCTCCATCCTCTCCAAACGTCCATGCCTAACCGCAACACCGCACTATACCCTCTGCTCCCACCAAGTGAGTTGAAGGTTCACAGTGAGTCAGCATACTTGTTTCTAAATCTGTTTGTACCAGTTATTTTCTATGAAAATTATACAATATAATTATTTATTAAATAACCCAATGAAATCTAAGCAGAAAAAATTAAAAAGAATAAACTTTTTTACCCAAGTTAAAACCTAAGTTAGGGCTTAGAAAATATTTGATAAAGACTAGTCACTTACCACTCACTGTCTAAATAGATAGCTGTAAGATGAGATAGTCATAAAAGATTAGGAAAAAAAATCCTAACAATCTAGAACTCTCCATTTATTGCTTCAAATATGTGTATGTTATTATATTCTCAAACAACTTTTCAATAAAAGCAACAAAAAGTGATGAGTGGATGTTATTTTTACATGAATAACTATTCAAAATTGAAGTAAAAGCTTTTATCCCATGACAAAAAGATTGGCAAATAGAGTATATTTTAATATATGTTTAAATATAATAGGTTTATATGTGTCTTTAGGTTTGTATGTGTCTTTTCATTATTATTATGCACCATTTAACTTTTTTAAAAAATTCTGTTTTTTTAACTACCAATACTCATTGTTTGGGAAAAAAGCACAAACAAATAAAAAACTTCCACTATACTCTGGTTTGATGTTTATGGTAATGTATCTGGACCATGGACAGATTCAAGAGCCACCATGACTTGCCACGGGGTCCCATGACAGAATCAAAGTCTTAACATACTTTAATTTCTAGAAATGCAATGGTTTCACATCTGGGTTCCACTTGTAATTTTTCCTGGGCAAACAATACATTCGTTTTTATCAATAAAATATTTTTCTGTCTGAGAATCAATAAGAAGCTGCCTGCAATATATTTTGTTTTTTATTCATCCTGGGACTTCTAGATGGGTTGCTTCAAAAGGAATGCCCAGATGACAATCCTAAAAAGAACCATGGTAGTGATTTTTCAACCTCTACATCCCTCTGGCCCCCAGTCTAGACCATCCCACACAGTGGGTCAATGTGGAATAGTAGAAAGAGTATTAAATTGGAAGTTTTCAAATAGACTCAACTCCAACTTGGGCATTAGTTTCCTGTATGACTCTGAACAAAGACTTAACTTGGGCTTTGTCCTCCTTCTTTGAAAAGGAAGAAGTTGCACAAAGTAATCCCTAAGGCATCTTTTAACAAGCGTCTAGAGATCTCAGAGAGGTGTTCACCTGCTTGCTAGCTGGCCTTGGAATATAATGATGAAATTCCTCTGGACTGGGATTTGTGTCTGGTTCTGATATTTCCTCACTGTGAACCCTGAACTGGTTATTTCACTTCTTCAATTCCTACTTTCCTGATTTATAAAATGAGGATAATGACTCAGGACATGTCTAACTTATAAGGCTTAAATGTGAAGAGCTGTCAGATGAGATAAGGGGGTATTAATGTCCTGCATATTTCTTTAAATGCCATGCATGTATTGGCTACTAGCAAATGCCTATTAAATGGTGATTCAACCTTTGCTTTATGGAATTCACATCAAGGATGGTTCTGGCAGCTTACTGAAATGAATATAATTCTGGTTTCTGAGATTAAAAACCTTAGGTTTAAATGCCAGTTCAACCAGCTGTGGTTTAGAGGACTTGACTAGTGACGTCTCCTTTAAAATTCTACTCTCCTCGTTTGAAGTTAGGAAAACAGTGGCTACCTCCTACCTGACATCCACCTGGTGCATACCATAGGCTCAGGAGGCATTAGCTTCCAGCCTTTCCACTTCCCTGCTCAAAATAGAAACCACAATGACAAGAAATGGAAATAAGGGCCCTACATCTAAGGCCTATTTGCATTGGTGGTTGTAAACTGAATTCTGGAGCCAGAGACTTCCATGTCATTTCATCCAAACCTTTACTTTAGTGACAAAGTAACCAGGGCTACAACAAAAAGTAATTTCTCCTGCAGTTTCACTGCATGACTAGTAGTGAATAGCACCTCAAAACGCATGAGCCACGGGAGATACAGAGGACCAGGGCAGAGTTGGCAAACTCTCGGGTTTCGTGAAAGACCAGAAGACAGACTGAGGAACTTACAGGTGGCCCTTGGATTCCTGGTGGTCCAGCAGCTCCTGCAATTCCATCTGCCCCCTAAAAAAGACAAGACAGAAGCTAGTTTCTTTTGCATCTGAACAGAGGTCATAAGCACCCTTCACTTTGTATACAAAGTAGTGTATGGCTCTTACATTCTGTGTCCCCTCCCAGCAGACTAAACTGTATATATTTCAAAAGTGATTCTGCCTTCTCCATTAGGCTGGGCTATTCTCTGGAAATACAAGATGGTGAGAGATAACAGCAGCCACACTTCAGGAAGGGCCAAAGCAGGATTGAGCTATCATACCTAAGAAAACAGCAATGAGTATCACTTCAGGGAGGACATTTTCAGTTAATATCAGGCAACATTTCAGGAGAGAAGGCAAGAAATAAACAACTAGATTTATCTTCCAGGAGATTAGGAAGGCAATTGCTTGTGTAAACTCAGGGATGAAGCCATACACTGATAGAGAAACAAAAGAAGAATTCTAGGCAGGTAAGTAAGTAGCTCAGTGTGAGCCCAGGTCCACTTTTGCCTCAGGGCTCTTGCCTTACTGTTTCTTCTGTCTGCAATCTAGTCTTCCATGTGCCCACAGAGCTCATGCCCTCTGATCCTCCAGGCCTTAGCATAGAGATCAGCTTCTTTAGTGAGAGATTTTCTGCCTACCAGACCTTGAAAGCCCCTACCCTTCATCATCCGTGGTGTAATTCCTTTTCTGTCTACTTTTCTCCATAGTAATTGCCAGCATCTGATATGCTAGGGTTTATTGACTTCTTATTTGCTTGTTGTCTCTCACTCTCTTTCCACACATCTATCTCATAAAGTCAAGAACTTTTATGTATGTATATATGTATGTATGTATGTATGTATGTATGTATGTATGTATGTATGTATTTATTTATTTATTTATTTATGGGAGCCAAAACATTGCCCAGGATATAGTAGAAAATCAACATTCTTGAACAAATGAATGAATTAGGAGGTTAGCTGGCTGAGTGATAAAGGCAGCTGTTCTTTTGACTACTTCATGCATCTACCTCTTACTAGCTTTGAGTGAGTCATATACGATCTCTAAGTTTTAGTTTCTTTATCAACAAAAATCTAGAAATTGTCCACACCCTAAGGAGGTAAGGAACAAATGAGGCAATGCTTACAAGGTGCTTAGCACGGAAGAGAGGCAATTGGTCAAGAGTGCGGCCTTTTAGCATCAGAGTTTTTGGGTCAATATTCTATTTCTACACTGACTAGCAGTGTAACCCTAGAGAAGTCACTTGACTCTTCTGCATCTCAATTATTTTGTAAAATGGAGGAAAAGAAGAGTGCACATTTCATGTGGGTTGTTGAGAGCATCGCATAAATTACACATAAGGAGTTTGTCAGCACCAGACACAAACTAAAGGTCCTCCATGAAGAGCCTTTCATTAATATAAGGGTAAATTATTTACCCTTATGAACTCTGCAGATATTAACTAAATATGAAAGCCTAAATAAGCAAGTTCTCACAATACATTATTGATATTTTTCTAGCAGCCTTTATTTAGTTGTGTGACAAACATTTATTGAGCTGCCTACATTGTATCAGGTACAAGCCAAGTTTTAGGGATATAAAAAACAACACACTATTATCTTAAACCTCAAGAAAAGTTGATATAGCTGTAGAATATATATCTTATTTTTCATGTATGGAAAATTATTGGAGTAGGATGCAGTCTGATTTGTCTCCACCATTTCTACTAGGTAGAGAGCCAGTAAATGTTCATGAAATAAAGGAATATTAATAATATTTAAAAGAAGATTAATGCTTTCATTAAATATCTAGTAAAAACTAACACAACAACGCAGTTCCTACTTTAAATCTAGATTTTTCCATGTAACTTTAGCAAAAGTTCCTGGCATCCTAGACTCTGGAAAGTTGTAATAAAATTTCTCACTGCATATTGGAAACAGGATAAGGATTTTATCTGGAAGAAGGATGGTGCCTGAATACCAGAAAATAAACCCTGAGAAAAAGAGCCTTGTCAGTTTGGTACCTATATCTCTGGGTACCTTGGACAGACTGACAAAGAATAAGCACTCAAAATCAAATCACAACAGCAACAAAAAGCAAAATCAAAATAATGCATACATAACCAGAAGGGTTAATTTTCTGCTCTTGAGTTGCTTCTGCAAGACTGGCTGCTGAACTTAAACAGGCAGCGGGCTCAGCACCCATTCCCAAAGGCAATTAACAGTACAGAGTATGGCACAAAATACAAACTCAATAAACATCTGCCGAATGAATTGAAAACATTAATCAGTTGGAGACAGGCAAGCTGTTTTCTGATTATGATTGTTTCTGAGCCTCAGATTCATCCTTTGGCATGAGAATAATAATCCAGGAGTCATTTCCTACAGTAGTCATAGAGTTCTAAGTGTCTACGGTTTCCAGTGGGCAGAGATCAGGGCTTCATTTGTATGGAAGACATGTTATAGGCTTTGCAGCTACCAGAGTGGATTGAGGATGAGGCTTTAACCCAATATTCATTTTCTGAGTCCCTTGGCTATAAAGTTGCAAAGAGAAGCTAAATTCATAACATAAAATTATTCATGAATGAACTGTTTTAAAAATAAAATTAGTTCCCTCTCAAATGTACTGCCTTGCTTAACAGTAATACCGCTCCCTACTACCCATTGCATCGCCAACTTTATCAATTTTTTCTCTTTGTTGATTGTCAGATACTACAAAAATCAATAATATATGTCAACATAATGAAAAGCAATCTCCTGAATGCAATTGTAGATCTTGAAAGAATTATCGAATTTTGGGATGTTAAACAATAGCAAATCAATCAATCGCCCACAATATCCTTCACAAATGTACACACGGCAGAATTGGGCCAGTTAAGAATCGAGGCTGAGAAACTAAAAAGAATATTAACATCAAAGTTACTTGTATTGAATATCAAATATTTAAGGAGGGTTTTCTGGGAAACTGAGAGAGCTTTTAGTACTTTGTAGATAATTTACCTTTTATAAGTTTGCTATGAAAGTCCATCACGAAGTGAAGGATGCCATTTTATGCTCTCATATGATTTTATTAAAAATACTCTTAAAATAATTTATTTAATAATTAGCACACAGTTACAATTAGAAGTGAGAAGTTGTTAATAAAAGAGACAAAGAAAGCTTGATTTGACACATTTTAACTTCATAATCCTACCGGAACCTCTTTTTTACTATTTATTATGACAGATTGCTCTCTATTAGAAGAGGGTTCCCTGTCAGTGGTCTTTTAGCTATCCTCAGTGGCCCCCTCTTTGCAAGGTCCAGGAGACCGGTCTCATGGACAGCCCATGGAAAATTCTAGGGAACTGATCCTGGGTTGGCAGGGTCAATAATTCCCACTGCCTGTTGCCATGGTTACCCATGATGGATGCGTGGGGTGCAATGGCAGTGGACTCTAATCAGAGGAGTAATATGACTAATCTGTGTGAAGCCTACACTGAAGGGGGAAAGGAAGGCTAAGAAGAGCATCAGTCAATGAAGGCTACAGCTACCACAAGAGCAGAGGGAAGATTTGCTCAGGGGGCCCAACTGAGATCATTGAGATGACATCAATGATAGTTGTTGTAGGTATAATGATAACAGGTGTCTTAGAAGAAGAATAAATGGACTTAAAAAGAGTTATAGTGAAAGATATTCACTTGTAGTATTATTTCTATGATTGCAGTAAATCCAGGAAAATCTGGGCTTCTATAGGCCTTCTCAGATTCTTAGAGCTTTGCACTATGGGACAGGTTCTCATGAGATGAGGAGAGCTGCTTCTACATTTTCTTAATTTCTATATTCTGTACTTGAGATTATAACCTTCAAATACTGGCTTTCCTACCCATCCAAAATGAGTTTTAAAAAGAGGAGAAGAAACAAGTCGGTCTGTCCGCCAATCCCAATGCTCCCCAATCCCAATGTCCCCCAATCCCAGCATCACTCTGCTTACTCTTTCCATCAAGTATAGTCAAGCTACTCTGCATCTTCCACCAGATGCTTTGAGGACTTGCACTTTCAGATTATCCCTGGGCGCCTTTTGGGTGTCAGCTTATTTCTTCAAATAAGAGGTAAGAGGTCCAGTGTGATGCTATACCCAGTTGAGTAGAAATGGGCATTGCAAATGTCAAAGTCAAAAGAGGAGGAAATTAAAAATTATTACTTACTGGTGGCCCAGGATTCCCTGGGGGTCCCATGAAACCTGGAACTCCAGGATGACCCTAAGTAAACACAAGAGGTAGTTCTTAAACATTATTGCTAAAATGCCTTTTACTTTGTGCAAACACCAAATTTCAGGAAACAATTCAGAATCTCCCTTCTAATTCTACTAACAATTTTGGTTAAAGGCATTGACAACAAAATGGAAAGAAAACAATTATATATATAGGCTGAGGAACTATCTGACAATATTTATAAAAAGAAATATGTCCTGAAAAGTAATTTGCTTCAAAATAATGTGTAGGGGCCAGATGTGCTAGCTCACTAACCTCAACACTTCAGGAGGCAGAGGTGGGAGGATCACTTGAGGTCAGGAGTTTGAAACCAGTCTAGGAAGCACAGAAAGACTCCATTCCTAAAGTCTCTACAAAAATGTCTAAAAAAATTAGTCAGGCATAATAGTGTGTGCCTGTAGTCCCACCCACTCTGCCTGTAGTATCACTCACTCGAGAGGCTGAGTCAGGAGGATCACCTGAGCCCAGAAATTCGAGGTTACAGAGAGCTATGTTTGTGCCACTGCACTCAAGCCTGGGTGACAAAGCAAGATCCCTTAAAACAAATAAATAAAAGCAGTTATGTGTAAGAGTTTGTTTTATTATGTTCTTTATTTTATAGATACACTTTGTTTCATTATAAAAATATACAAACAAATGCACACACAATATGTGCATAATGGAAACTGTGTTAACTGGGTAATAGCCTTTATATTAAGGCACTATTACAGTTATCTTAAGAAAGAGATTTGATTCTTCATGCATAGAGGAGTCCATTATGTATTACCCAATGAGCCAAAAAAGCTACAGAGGAAAGGATGACATCTACCACTTAGTCTTGTACAACAGAATTATAAAACCAACCACCAAGCCAGGCGCAGTGGCTCATGCCTATAATCCTAGTACTTTGGGAGGCGGAGGCGAGAGGATTGCCTGAGCCCACGGGTTTGAGACCAGCCTGGACAACTTGACGAGACCTTGTCTTTACAATAAGTCAAAAAATTAGCCGGGCATGGTGGTGCATGCCAGTAGTTCCAACTACTTGGAAGGCTGAGGTGAAAGATAATCACCTGAGCCCAGCAGATATAGGCTGCAGTAGCCGTGAGCATGCCACTGTACTCCAGCCTGGGCGACAGAGTGAGACTCCAATAAAAAATAAAAAAATTAAAAACCAAGAAAGAAATTATTTATCTGCCCTCCACATCAATACCCTGCCCCCAGAAAACAGAAACTATGAAACTATAACACTCAATAGAGAGTGTATTGTCTTTTGCAAGTCATTCGTATAAGGATATATAAGAATAATGTAAACATACTTTGTTTTTCCAAATACAGAAGGAACATTAGCTGAGGATCTCATTCAGATCCTGAATATGATTCTCATCTCCTTGTCTGGGGGTTATTTGTCCACATGCCTCACTCCCTAGTTGAAAGCCAAGCCCAGTGGCCCATGACTCATCCTGGAGTTCAGAGTCAGGTGCAGTGCTTGACATAGAATTGGTTAACAATGATTACTGCCTGTGAGATGCAGAAGGGAGGGAAGAGAGAAGGAGGAGGGTGGCTGGAAGAGAAGGAGAGGAGAAAAAAAGAAGGAAAGGGATGATTACAGCAAAACAGAAGCACAACAGCAATTTCAGTGGTCAGAAAGGTCGTTAGAGTTAGACTGTTCGGAATCAGCTGGTGGCACTAGACAGAAGACGTTGGGAAGGCAGTACTCAGATCCACAGAGAGAGCAGTGGGTCCCCACTGGTGCCATCCCACAATGCTTTAGGAGCAGTGGTCCAGTAGGCCTGAATGGGCACCAACCAGATCCTCGGGTGGTTGTAAAGTGTTTTAAGTAGCACCATGAAAGTCAGATAACAGGTTCAGAAGAGATGATGGGAAAGAAGAAGGTGGGATTTTGTAATGAATGACTACCATTTCAGTGGACAAGAAGCAATCACGGTGGAATAGTACAAAATAAAAAAAAGAAGAGAAGAAAAGACAGTATTCTCAGATAACTATGGGAGAGTAGGGGTTGACAGTGAACCAGAGACATCAAGATGGAGATCATGAAAATGTAATTTTAAAAAATCCTACTACAGTCAAAGAAAAGACAAGGAATGGCATGGTAGAATGGAAACTATCTGAGGAAAACAGAGATCTTTCTTCTTGGTAAATTGTTCATTATATATATATATATATGTTTTGTTTTGTTTTGTTTACCTGATCACCTTTCTGTCCAACCTCACCATCTGCACCATGTTCTCCTTTACTTCCCTTGGAAGAAAAGACAAAAAAAGAAAAGAAACATCACTGGAAATTTTACTAGAGTTGCACTGCAAAAGAAAAATATTTCATGTATGCGTTCATTCATTCATTCATATTCAAGCAATCTCTTATCAAGTTCCTGTGGTAGTTTAGACATGATGGCAGTAAATGGTTAGAAACAAAAAAGTCTGGTTGAGGATGTGTTGGTAGAATGGCTTAACTGGGTTTTGTAGTATTAGAGGGCAGCAGGAAATGAGTCTGGGGAAGCAGCAGGGCTCATTACTTGAGAGCCTTCTAAGTCAACATCTGACTTTAGATTTAGTTGTAGGCACTAAAAACCATTAAAGATGTGTGTGACTGTTTTAGAGCTTAGTTGTAGCTACAGCACAGGGTGTGCTAGAGCGCCAGGATGAAGAGAAAAGGATCACTTGGGAGAAAACTGGTGTATTCCAGATGTGACAGGGAAAGCAGCAGAACAAACACTGTGTTTGCAGGCCTTGCTGAGTAGGTGTGAAGGTGAGGGAGAAGGAGATGTTGAGATGGTGGTAAACAGGAGCAAAATTGCACAGTGGGCTTTGGAGGGAGAATTTATCCATACATATGTTCCTTGCTCCCTCATTTATTAGCTGTGGGACATTGAAGAGTCACTGAAACTCTCAGAACTGTAGTTGTTTTTGTTTTCCTACAAAATAATGATGCTTACCCATGAAATGTTGAGGAATAAAATGTTGGAGAATAAAATCAGGCAAAACACATGGAAAATACTTAGCATGGAGCTAGAACACAGTAAGAGCGCAATAAATGTTGTCATAATTATTGTGTTTATTATTTTGCTTTTTAATCCTGGCTTTACAACTTACTAACTGTGTGTCATTGGGCAGGGTGCTTCAACTCTCTGTCTTCTTACTTCTAAAATGAGAATAACAATAATGGTATCTTGGTCATGGGGTTGTTTTGAGAATTAACTTACCTAAAATCTACAAAGTACTTAGACTGTTGATGGGCTGAGTGTTAGTTCTCAATAAACCTTAGCTAACGTCATTCATATCATCTTTATCACCATAATGAGGATCCTCCTCATTACTGTCAATATCATTGCCATAACCATCACCACTATCATCACTATCATGTTCATAATCATGATCATCACCATTACCACCCAAGCCATCACCATCATCACCATCATTGGCATAACTCTCATCATTATTACCAATCATTGTCTTCACCATCATTGTCACCATCATTGTCATTGTTAACATCATCATAATTACCACCACTAACACCACTATTATCATCACCATCACCACCATCATCATCCTCCTCCCCACCATGACCATCAATTGTTATCATCATTGTTGTCAGTGATCATAGTCATCAAGATACTCAAAATATGCAACCTAACAAAAATATTTATCCCAGACTTACCATGAAAGTAACATTCAAATGTTCTACTCTCTTAACTATCACTGATTTTGGCTCTGCATTTATTATGTAAACAAATGTATTTCAATAAAATATTCTTAAACAAAAGCATTTCAATTCCTTTAGAAAATACATTATACATTAACATATGTTGGTGACAGTAAGTTAGTCTTGGCTCTGGTCCCATGCCTGTCACCTCTTATCTTTGTTTCCTTAAGCAGATCATGTCCTCTCTCTGGCCTCAGTTTGTCCACCCAGTATTAGAGGATGAGTGGCAGGTCTATCTACAAGGGTCCTTCAGGGTTCAGGGCCCCCAAAATTCTCTCATTGAAACATCAAGGATAGCCATCTTTCCATCTAGACTGTTCTACCACATCAGCAGAATACTGGTGATGGGGACTTCATAACAATACTTCCTCTCTCCCTGGGACATATGAGGAGGGTTAGATGAGCTAATTCCTATAAAGTACTAAATATATTGTTTATAGGAGAAAAAAGAATGGATTCAGAAAGGAAAAGCATTTGTTCCAACATTTTTGCCTGTAATTATTTTCGCTGTTTCTAAATCTATAAAGCTGGCATACTGTCTGCAGACCATTTTGTGATCAATGAAAAGAAGTAACAGAATAGCCCACTGCTTCCTTGACATTTAGGACAACTGCCTTACAAGTAAATGGTTTCCTTTCAAATTCCAGTTCTCAGGCTGGGTTTAGAGTGGTTTAAACATTTATCTGGCAACAATGAAAATGTCAGCAGCTCAAGGATCTCCACAGTTGTCCCTGTCTCCTACTCCAACGTAGCTAGGGATCAAAGCAAACACAACCACCTCCAAGCCTGACTCACTTCCTTCCAGAAAAGGGGACTGACATTTACAGAGCCCCAACTCTGCTAGGCACTCTGCCAGGGCTTCCCACATGATATCCCATTACATATATTTCTTTGTTTATATCCTGAGCGGATGCAAAAAGTATTTAATATGTCTATGATATATAATTTAGCCAGTAAGACTATTCTACAAGGCAGAGGTTATTAGCAGAGTGTTAGATAAGAAATCTAAAGAAAAGACAGGTTAAGTCATTCACCTGAACTCACATAGTTAATAAAAAACAATGTCTGGAACATAATCTAGATCTGTCTGTGTGATAATAAAACATCCAAGGTGGCTTTCCCTGCCATGTCCCACTGGTTAATCATGTCAAGAGCACCAGATTTATAGTCAGGAATACTGACTGACCATGTTGAGCATGGGCTAGACATATTTTATTCACTGAAGATAAAACAATCAAAATAACTCTGTCCACCTGGAGTTTATATTCCAGGGAGACTACCAGCTCAACTTGACTAGCTCAGTTCTCTTCAGAAGCAATTTACTGAGGAACCATTGCAAGGGCTTAATTCTCCCCTATTGAAAATGAGGAAAGATAATTTGCCCTACTTCCTTTACTTAAAGCACTTACTGTAGAAAACTAGTCATTATGAATTAGTTTTCCATCTCTTTTAAATATATGTAAATACTTTTAAAGGCTAAATAAGGCTTTTGCTAGCTTCATGACCCAGGAACCCAAGAATGTCTTTCTCAAGAACCTAGAAATCAACTCTTAGAAATATAATCAGCAAGGGAGATAATGCCTCTATCTAGCTCCCAGTTCCTGTGGAACAGTAGAAGCCTAACTTTGGCAGATGCCTGGCTCCAAGTTGCAAAACCATCTCCTACCATAAATATGTGAGACGCTTATCTTTCCTTTGAATAAGGCAAGCTAGCTAACACAATGGCCACCCCAATTGCCACGTGAATCTAGAAAGGACCTAGGTAGCAAAAGGTGCCATCAAATTCTCTTATTTGAAGATGAGTTATTGCTTGTTCTGAGAATATGTACTGAATGTATAGATGGTAGTGTTGCTGTGGATATGTAAGAGGAAGATTTCTTTTTGTCTTCGCAATCTCTTAGCATACTCTCTGTAACGTGCATTCTGGTTTAATGCTTATTCCACAATAACATTGATTTCTTTCAATTCTATCTTTGTGGAGAAGTTCTCAGGTTTGGAAAAATACTTTGTTTTGTTTCTAATTACATTTTTCCAGCACCATCATGTGCCAAAGTACATGATATAATATTTGTTTAGACATTACACATTTATATAAAGCGTTGCTGTAAGAACGTTGGCTTGTGTGAATCTGTTGAACAATCAATTCTCCAAAAGGTTTACAAACTATTAAGGATAAGATCTAAACTTTCTCAAGTTAATAAGTCTCTGCTGCTCTCAGAACAATTTTTGTCAATTTTGCATGCTGTTTTTCTGCTGGGAAAACCTTTTATCCATGGTAAACTCCTGACTCACCTTCCAAAGCAACTAATACCCTACCTCCTCCAGAAGGCCTTCAGTGGTCTTTGATGTTAGTTTCCTTAAAGTCATTAACTCTTCCCCTGACAATTGATTGTAGTTGTTTTTATCTCAAATATAGCAAGAATTATGAGGACTATTCAGTTATATGTATTAAATGTTTCCTACATGCTGTGCTTTGTAAATTTTCCCTTGTTTAGTTTTAGTTCTACATTCTCATTATGAGATTATACTACATGATTCTTTCATAGATGAGACACCCAACGTTCAGGGAATTCAAATAAATGCCCAAGTTCTATAATTAGTAAGCAAAATTCACTCAGTTAATAAGAGAGAGCAGGTTGGGGACCAGTGATCTACAAAACTCTGGCTTGTGCCCACTGTTCTCAATGGTCTCCATCCTCCATGTGACTTTCCTAAGTGTCACTCATTAGCTTGTAGGTCTTTTCCATCACAGTATCAGCCATGGAAGGCATGTACCAGATATAAACTCTCTCTATATCTCCCGATTTGAAAGGAAACTGTTAAGGGAATGCTTGATGAGAATTTTTCAGAACTGGGACAGCTTTGTATGGAAAGAAATTTCTTCTCCCAGACAGATCATGCAGTACATGGCTCTGGGTTATCTTCTGGGCAGGATGGGAATGGAGGTCTTTCTCTGGCTGTCTCAATTGCATCAGATATCATCTCTGCCTTCCCAGAATCATCCATAACCTTCGAGTGAGGCCTTCTGCACATTATGGTGTCTCCAGGTTAAAACAAGCCCCCTTTAGACCTTACTGCATGGTTGTTGAACATACCTTAAGAAAGAAATAAAATACTTTTTGTAAAGGAGAAAATACTCATCACTTCCAAACCAGAAGAGCTTACATCTAACTCTGCAGAAATACATGCTCCCAGGGTCATCTCTGTGATTACTATCTTGTTCCTTCTTCCCCTACATAAATTGAAATCATAAAAGCAGCCGCAATTTCCAGACCCTATCTTTTCAAGTCTGTATTTTATGCAGTTTCAAAGCCCTAGAATGGAGCTCTGTGGTTGACCATTGTGTTAATCTCCCTAGACCCAGTCACTGGAGTGAGAAGTTGCTCATCTGTAAGATAAACCTTGGGGAAGCTGCTTCCCAGGTGGTAAGCCACAACTGCAAATAAATAAATAAATAAATAAATAACCAAAACCCTCTTGGTAATGCACATGACCAATGAACAGCCAGGGCCTTTGGTTATACAAGGATGCTTACAAGGATCATAAGTATTCCATCATGCATAGCATCTTCAGTTGACAAGTTTGTCTTTGTGCCCGTAAGTCTAGCAGAGACTGATAAGTGAAGCTGAACAGAGAGGAAATGAAACAATCCTTCTGTCTGTTTTCTGAAAAGTGAAGTGAAGTAAATGAAAAACACAGAAACTGGCTTGGGTTTGAAGCCAAGAACCAAAACAGACTGAGTCTTTAGAGGAGACATTTATCTCTTCTGTGATTCATTTTCCCAATGGGAAAAGGGGCTGCTGTTACAGACAGGGGCATGAGCAAAGACAGTATAGACTAAAGCCTTGCTCCCCATAGGGAACTGTCCTGGGTACTGGTGTTGGTATTAGCATTACTAGGAGTAGAACAGGACACTAACTAGTGAGGGTCGTGAATTTGAACTAGCAGGAGTCTACCCTGGTTGGTTATAACACTGACTAGTTTTGCAATACTTGCATTTAACCTTGCTAAACCTTAATTTCCTCATCTGTAAAGTGGGATAATAGTTCTATCTCCTAGAATCGTGCTGACCATCGCAGAAAATACTATTGTAAAGTAGGTAAACTGCCCCTTAGAATATTCAGTGTATCACCCACAGCAACTGCCTGTGGGCTCATTATGGAGGGTAGACCTGGAGTCCAAGGACATCTCAAGGTTTTCACTGACTCCCAAGTAGAGAAGCTAGGATGCCATCTTTCAGATACAGCCACTCATTTTTGTTGTTTCTGGATGAAGGCTTTCTTTTCTCAGAATATTTAAAGACTCAAACTCTCCCTTGAAGCAAATTTAAAGGAACAAAGGCAGAGCCATCACTGAAAACACCAGCACTTCAAGCAGGGTTGGACTGATAGAGAAGGCAATCCTTCAGTTTAATTGATATGCTTTTGTTTCTCTGAAAAAAGGGAATTCTTCCTCAGCAGAGGCTAAGCCCAGCAGCCAGCAAGTTGACAGCAAAGGTTACTCAAGGATCAGCTAAAATTACAGGGCGAGGAGCTTAGCCTCACTAGTGACACCCAAAAGGGAGAATAATATGCAATAAGGAGCACAGACATTTCATGACACTATACTTTCCTGGTGTCTTTCAATCTAACCCTGCTCCAGGCAAAATCTGGGACTGCATCTGCCCAGCAACCTGTTATCTGTAGTTCCTGAAGGAGGAGTCTTGGTTCTGCAGAAGCCCTCCAAATCTTCAGAGAGTCTAAAGGTCACAGTCTCTTGACGTCTTAACCTACTGCCCAGGATCTGGGAGACCTGGGTGTTTTTCATCCTGATGCACCACAATTCTGGTGCTGTTGTCACGACACAGAAATTTTGGATTTTTGCTTGCTCTTTAATAGTAATAGTAACAGCTCCTATACCCTTTTCCAGAGCTAAGCCTAGGGTAAGGCAATTGAAGCACTCATCTTGAGTACTGAATACCTTAGTAACCAAGATGTAAAGTATCTCATGCAATATTTTTAAAAGACAAAATCAGTCTAAAAGAATCCAAGATAAACAAATATCAAAATGTAACTAAACACAGGAATCTGACCTGATTGGGATTAGGCAAAGGTAAATAACAGGGGTCATTCAAGTGGAGAGTTGGGTCCTGTCTTTATTTTAAATTTTGATATTTTGCTCCTTGTGGTTTAATTGCATTAATTTTAAATATTAACAAAATATTGCATTAAAGTATTTATTTATTGGTAGCTGAGATTTTTGGCTTCTTCTTACATTTATTCTCAAGTTTTTGCCTTAATTATGGTACTGCCACTGGTTGTGATCCTAAGAGCTTAAAGAGTTAACATCCACTGAGCACTTACAATGTAAGACAGGGGACACATTTTACCCTGAGTGTTGTGGGGAAAAGTACACAATTTGCAGAAACACAGAGGCCACAGGAGATCAAGAGTGGCCCCCAGTGGAGCAACAATGACAGGGGAGGGAGGGTAAGGTTGCAAAGATCTCCCTGCCTCTTCCCTGCCTCCACAATGGTACTTATGCAGTTTCTTCTTTGAGCTAAATGCTATCATCACTAACATCTCAAGAATCACAAGCTCCAGAACACTTGTTTTGACAGGCAGAGAGCTTCCCTGCCATTCTGGGGTTGAAATCACACCCCCTTCCTCCCATGTTGGCCTTCCTGGCTTTGTGAAACCACAGAGCCATGCTGCTGCCCTTAAATGGGTAAGGGGTAACTCATTCATGTGAAAATGATAACACTCACCTGTGGTATTTGTTGTAATATTGTTGTAAAGCACTTTCCTAATATACTAATATATTTTTTCCTTCTTATTGAGTGCAAATTTCTGTTTTGGATTATATTATTCAATTCCAACAAATCTCTGATGCTGATTATAGTCTTGTAATTACTGTGGGGGGGGGAGAGTTAAAGTGTTTGACCCCAAAACTCTTGTCTCAACCAAGAAGTACTACACACTCCAATTCCATTGTTCATTTTATACTTTCGAACACTCAGGTGTTTGTAAATGAGCAACTGAGACTCTACAAGTTGAACTGACCTGCCCACAGTTACTAAAACAGTCAAAGCCATGATTAGACCCGAAACATTTTTTTTTTAATTTGAAAACCACTTTTTTTTTTACACTGACCATCACTCTCCCTTAAATGTAAATTAATCACAGTGAGATGGGCAGAATGGATTCATGCAGATGTTTATGAAGTCTCACTGACCTGTGGTCCAGCTATTCCTGGGGGCCCTGGGAGGCCTGGGGGCCCAGCATCTCCCTGTAGCAGAGACACAAGAGAAAAGAAAAAGAATGAGTGTCTGAGGCTCACATCCAGAGTAATCACCCATCCTTTGACCTTGAAACTCTATTCACTGATTTCCCATTGAATTTCCCCGCAACCACTCTCTCCCCCCAGCATCCCTGAGCAAAGGATATGGGAGGTGTTGGTATTGAGTGTTCCTGTTCAATCATGAGTGTGACCCACCACTAATGTGGTTAGTTGGTGTGGTAGCCAGTCCCCAAGATGGCCAGATGATCTCTGAAAGGTACCTATAGAAACCTAGAAGAAACTTAGCTTATTCTTTAATCTTTTTGCCTCAGTGTAATGATTAGCAAGCATTCAGACATTCTACTGCAGGATAAACAGCAGCCTACCCCATCCCCCCCAAGGCAAATCTCCTTTGGATGCAAGATCAGGACAACCCAAATGACCACCCCACCTTTGGTCAAGGAATTTGTGAATTGTAAATGTCTAACAAGTCTCTTGCAGGAATCACTCCCCTCCCCTCAGGGCTAACCTAGGTGACACAAAGAAGCCCCACCATGGCAGCAATCATGTGACTAACCCACCCATATGCCTGCTGTCCATCACCTGACATCATCAGTAGCTGCCCCTGCCTGCCCCTTCATGATGACGTGGAAGCAGACCACCACCCAATCACCTTAATAATCCTCCCCTGTCTAGGGGAATGGTTAAAAGGACTCAACCACAAGCAACCAGGGGCCATTGCCTTGCTAGAGTCTGGTGAGGCCATGTGTTCTTTGAGCCATGGCTGTTGGCATGCTTCCTGGTTTTGGTCCCCCTCCCCCACCTTGGGGAGGTGGATCTTTTCTCTTCCTTCCCTTTCTCTCTCTAATTTACTTTTAAATAAACTTTTCTTTCTTAACCTTTTTGTGTGTCGCACCTTGGGCTTGCCAGCCCCGTCAGTGCTGCGCGCCTCGCCTCTCCACCCTCACTCTGTCCGTCCATACCCTAACAATCCCTGCCTTTCACATTTACACCCTAGAGTAGGCCCCCACAATTTGTATCAGGGTTGGTGTGGCCAACGGAGCATAGCAGAAGTGAAGGTATGTCTCTCTTCAGATTAAGTTATAAAAATGACTGGCTTCTACCTTTGCCTGCCTCCCTTCACCTGTGCACTTTCTCAATATGTTCACTCATTCTAGGGAAAATTAGCTACCATGTCTTGACTGCACTCAGTCAGCTTTGTGGAGAGACCCTTGTGGTAAGGAGCTGAGGCCTCCTGCCAACAGCCAGCGAGGAACTGAGGCCTAAGTCAACAGTCACAAGAGTGAACCTGGTTGGAAGGGGGTCTTCTACCAGATAGATCTTAAGATGACAGCAGCTCAGGACTGAGGGCTGCCTCATGAAATACCTGAGACAAAACCACCCAACAAAGCCACTGCTGGATTCCTGCCCCTCAGAAGTCATGAGATAATAAATGTGTGTTGTTTCAATCTACTAAGTTTTGAAGCAATCTATAATTAAGTGATAGACAAATAATACAGTTGAAAAAAGAGGTAAAGTGTGTTGCAATAAGAAATAGTCTGAATTATGCAGCATCTCATGTATGTGTGTGTGTGTGTGTGTGTGTGTGTGCACGTGCTTTACAAATATACATATATGCATAACTATACACACACGCTGTACATTTTTTGTAATTATTTTCACTGCTCTGTGAGGGTTAAACTTTGACCTTTCTCTTCTCTTGTGCAAATTCCTAACTAAGGGATTTGGGAAATCAAACCCTACAAATTAGAGTATCTCATCAGATGGGTTTTTACTAACCCTATATAATGTGGCTTATTTTCCAACTTGCCTCCAATATAACACAACATAATAGATTGAGAGGACAACAATAGATTTAGGTTACGAGCATGCTATTGAGAGACCCAAAGAAACTTAAAAAAAAAACCATATTTGCTGTAAAAGTAGCGTTTAGTTCACTATATTTCATATATCCCCACCTCATGTTTACTATATATTTTGTGTATTCCTACCTCATGTATTTTATGAAATCTTAGTACTTTAAATCCTACCTCAGACCCCATAGAATTAGGCATATGTCGGGTGCCAGGTCGTGACCAATTGTATAATGGTGTAAGTAGTGTTTGTATTTAGAACTCTTGTGTTAAGCATTGTCAGCCCCAAATTAGTAGGCTAACTTCTGCTTTTACAACGGGATGTAAATGATAAAGCGATAAGCCCCTTTCAGACATTCCTACAAGGTGGCAGCAGACTCAGAGGCGCCAGCTGCTCTCTATCACCGGTTTTTATCCCAGTGATAATTTACACACAGTGGCTATGTAAACCTGAAGGGAACAAAGACTTTTATAAAAGAAACCACCTTGCTATAATACGCTTGTGATATTTTATAAATTCCCAGAATTAGTATATGATTTTCTACCCCACATTCACTGTGTTTGCAGCATTCATATTTAAAACTTTGTTAAGTTTGGCTTTTGTTGTCCCATAATGACCATGACCATGTTATGTTATGTAAATGTTAAGCAAACAAGCTTTCCTAAGCATACCTTGGGATGGAAACTTAAAGGGCTAATGTAACCCTTTGCCTGCCGGCTCAGGTTACTTCATACGCAGGGACTGCATGGACCTAACTTATCTAACATTCCACTCTGCCCATTAAGTGGGTTTCTGTCAATCACGGACAGCACCCACCAATACCAAGTGTTCCCGTACCCATTAGGAGAAATTACCCAATCATGTAAAATCAAGTTTAAAGTTCTTTCCCCTCCCTCTGTAATTGTGCATAAAAACTGCTTGCCATTGTGAATCAGGGCTCTGGTTCATGAAGCTTCTACGGGCTTCATGCGTGAGCCCAGACTCGAGCCTGAATAAAGACCCTCGTGTGTTTGCATCGGAGCTGGCTCTTTGTGGTCTCTATCTCTCTCATTAGAGTCCCGGGTTTAACAAGATAAAGAAGGAAATCAAAAAATATGTTGCGGCTCTGCAAAGCTGTCTCTTAGGGAAATTTGCGTCTGTATAGAATCCCTTTTCCAGGGATTCCAGCGGAGCCAGCATCTTTCAAGAGGTTTGTCATCTATTGTCTCTAAGGGCTGCCATCTATGAAGCTTCATCTACATATCAAGGACCTCAAATTCCTCAACCTCCTTTGTCTTAACTTTACTGATTTCAAATTCTTTAGACAGTTTAACCCTTTCTACCAATTGCTAATCAGAAAATCTCTGAATTGACCACTTAGAAATGCCCCATCTTCCTAGGGCAACCTATGAAAACCTCATATATATTGATCTATGTTTTACCTATAACTTCTGTCTACCTAAAAATGAATAAAAGCTGTAATTCAGTCATTTAGGGTACATGTTCTTAGGCTCCCTTGGGACTTTGCCCTGAGCCCAGGTCATTCACATCTTGCTCAGAATAAACTTCTTTAAACATTTTACAAAGTTTGACTTTTTTTTTTTTGAGTTGGAGTCTCACTCTGTCACCCAGACTGGAGTGCAGTGGCTGCTCCCGGCCACCGCAGCCTCAACCTGCTGGGCTCCAGCGATCCTTCCGCCTCAGCCTTCCAAGTAGCCGGAATTACAGGCATGCGCTATCACGCCCAGTTGATTTTTTTTTTTATTTATCATAGAGATGAGGTCTCGCTGCCCAGGCAGGTCTTGAACCTGCGGGCTCAGGCAATCCACTCACCTCAACCTCCCAAA